CAACATAGCCACAGTTCCCTATTCTGTTGGTAACAGAGTCAGGGCAAAAAGAAGAAGGACATTTCTTGTCTCTTTCAAATATGGAGTCTTCAACCAGAACTCTCTGTGCATGATGCTGGAATTAACTTCCTTTACAGCATAGGTGCACTCAGGGAGGGTAGAGAGCAGAAAAACAAGAAGCGTGTCTCCACTTTGACAACTCCCCACTCCAGAATCACAGACATACCGAGCAGGGGCTATATAAGAATTCCAAAGGAGCCCAGATTCCTTCAGTTTGGCGCAACTTGGAAGCTATTCACAGAAGGTCGTGGATGGATCTTTCTGACTTGTGTTTTAATTATCCTGTTTTCCCAAGATAAGGATCATGTTCAGTAGCTCTATCATGCAACTCTCATTCATGTGGGTTACATTTGTATTTTACACAGGCTTTTGAGTGTCAATTCCCTGTACTTAATGGACACTTAACGTGCTACGGATTATTTTTTGGTAACACTTTATTTCAGATTTCCCATCATTATGAATTCATTTAGCACTGGAAGTAATAGCCCTGCTCCTAATGAATTCATCTGGTATTAATATGGCTTTCACAAGTGTGTCCATAGGTGCCCGAATGCAATTTAGCATTAGTTAAGCGAGAGTTAATGGATACTTAAAGTGCCACTTATTTTCTAAGTGGTCCATAAAAAGGGAGACAAAAGCCTGCCTGCATATTACTCTCAAGATGTAATATGTCGATTTCTGAGGTAAAAGTAGAAGCCAGTTTGAACATAAAAACATTGGATGCTGCGCTGTGGATAAGGGCAAGGTCCATCTAGTCCATGACTGAAGAAACTTCATCATCCGGTTGATGTTAAATTCCAACTCAAGTCAGCATGGCCAATGGCCAGAGAGGAAAGGAGTTGAAGTCTAATAATAGGAAGCACTGATTACTTCAAGAGGTGGGAGAACCTCAGCCCATGAGCCAAATTTGGGCCTGCATGGGTTCCAGTTTGGCCCAAAAGGCCATTTTCCCCACAAACCACACCTACCTACTTCACATACCCCCCCAATATAATGTTCTTTATATGTTATTTTCACTGATATATGCATTTATATGCACACTTTACCCTTTTATCTGCAGTTCCGCACACATTACCCAACTTGAAAACTGCACTGCAAAATTCAGAGAAGTGTGAATTTTGAAAGATGGGTTGTGTTGTGTTCAGTTCATATATTGTTCCAGGAGTGTGAATTAGGTAATTTTACGTTTAAATGCAAACTGAATCAAATTTCTCCCCCATCCCTACTCAAAGTACTGTTTATGACTACTGTGTTTTGGACAATACATTCTGAAAGAATCAAGAGATGGGCAATAGCTTTTGGGGGGGCAGAACCAAAGTGATTTGGCAGAGGCATTGCTTCCCATAGTAAGCACTCCTCTCTCTGTTGCCCTGCTGTTACCTCTGGTTAATCAGGTTTTGCAGGCTTTTGAAACAAGAATAAAACCTACAAAACCTGTTTACTAGTGGCCAAAGTGGGATAAGTGCACAATGAGCAGTGGTCAGCCTTCAGCTTTTTGATAAAACTACCAGCCTTCGTATAGTTAAAGCTATGGTTTTCCCAGCAGTGATGTATGGAAGTGAGAGCTGGACCATAAAGAAGGCTGATCGCCAAAGAATTGATGCTTTTGAATTATGGTGCTGGAGGAGACTCTTGAGAGTCCCATGGACTGCAAGAAGATCAAACCTATTCAATCTGAAGGAAATCAGCCCTGAATGCTCACTGGAAGGACAGATCCTGAAGCTGAGACTCCAATACTTTGGCCACCTCCTGAGAAGAGAAGACTCCCTGGAAAAGACCCTAATGTTGGGAAAGATGGAGGGCACAAGGAGAAGGGGATGACAGAGGACGAGATGGTTGGGCAGTGTTCTCGAAGCTACCAGCATGAGTTTGACCAAACTGCGGGAGGCAGTGGAAGACAGGAGTGCCTGGCGTGCTCTGGTCCATGGGGCCACGAAGAGTCGGAGATGACTAAATGACTAAACAACAACAACACCACCAGCCTTCTCCAAACGGCTCTGTTCTAGGGCAATGGCATCAGAAAGCTAGGAAATACTTCATAAGAGAAAGAAAGTACAGCAAACAATTAAGTCTTGCCTTGTTGCTTTTTTACTTTAACACAATAAGAGAACTTTTAAAGGTTCAGGTAATTATTCCTGGGAGATGATGACAGAGCAGTGAAAGTTGCTGCATGGGGAGCAGAGTAACAAGCGTTGAAACTCCTGACACAGACACGGTACAGATTGCATGACCAGCCAGCTCTTCCCACCTTTCAAGAAATCACATTGTTGTCAACATTTCAGCAGCCCAAAATTAGCTGAAGTATTCAGGAGTTGTTGGCAGCTAACAGCAGGCGAGTTCTCAGATGGATTGTATTTTCTTGTGGCGCTTAAAACCTCAAGCCTTGCAGCCGTTACAAACAGCCCAAACACTTGCAAGTATCAAGGCAGGCAGGCACCCATCCTGTCCCCCCACAAGAGGCAATTTAACAAATGAGATTCAAAGTCAAGGTCCTGATGACTTCTGAAAGTAAAGCATTTTGCATGGGGGCTCTGAAGTTTCCTTGATTTCCAAGAGAAACCACAGACCATAATATTTCAGCTGCTTATCTGGCAGGTTCACAGACTTGATCTCCTTTTGGTGATCTAATATTCATATTTAATTATTTTGCATAGCCAAGCTACTACAGCAGGGGATTTGACACTGTAAGCTCATGGTCTGGTTAAATAAGGCGGACACTGATAGATTTGACTTACAATCTTTTTCTAATCATTCCCTATACAAAACTTTACAGGCTAACAGTTTATCAGGGCAAACAGGGCCACCCAAAAATAAGGTAGTGGTTTCTAGGTATGCAAAAATATACCTGACACCTCCTATCTCAAAGCTATTAATTAACAAAGTCATAATCATCACTGCTGGTAGCTGTGTAATGGTAAAGGGACCCCTGACCATTAGGTTCAGTTTGACCGACTCTGGGGTTACGGCACTCATCTCGCTTTACTGACCGAGGGAGCCAGCGTACAGCTTCTGGGTCATGTGGCCAGCATGACTAAGCTGCTTCTGGCGAACCAGAGCAGCGCACGGAAACACCGTTTACCTTTCCGCCGGAGCGGTACCTATTTATCTACTTGCACTTTGACGTGCTTTCGAACTACTAGGTTGGCAGGAGCAGGGACCGAGCAACAGGAGCTCACCCCGTCACGGGAATTCGAACCGGCAACCTTCTGATCGGCAAGTCCTAGGCTCTGTGGTTTAACCCACAGTGCCACCCGCATCCCTTGGTAGCTTGTATGACAGAGTAAAAGTAAGAATTCCTGACTGATAGTTAGGAAAACAAAATTTGTTTGGGTATTATTTATTTATTTATTTATTTATTTATTTATTGAATGTTTTAGTGGCTCAGTGCTTAAGGAGTCTCCAAGCAACTTACAAAAGGAAGTATGGCACAATCAGGAAAAAGAACAGCAGGAGCCATGCAATAACCCATAAAAACAAACCTAATAAACAGCAGCATAAGCATATATTTGATAGACAGCAAAGTCTGAGGAAAGACTGCATAGCTAGCAATGCCTCATAGGTAAATAAGGGGTTCTCATAGAATCATGGTAGACTCTAATTGGAAGAAACTATATTTCTGCCTTTCTCTGATATAAGAGAAGCAAAGTCTGTATACAAATGCTGCGTTTCTGTGGGTAAGTTTTCCCCTTTTTGGCTTTGTATCGGACCCTTATTTCCATGTATCTTGTTGTCTCTGGCTTAATCATCATTAGACTCCGGACTTGCTGGTTTAGGCAGCCCTCCCTCACCCTAAGCCCCCTCCCCAGATAAGTATTTCTGCCAAGATTAAAGCAATTAAGGAATCCCGAAACAGGGGGCAATAAAATGTCTGAAGAGAACAACCCTCATTAGCAGCAGGGCATGACTTTCTGGGCCAATACTCTCCGTCTAGTATATTATTGTGCAGTTTGGGGAGTTAATACAGTTGCAATAAGGTGCATTTGAATCCACAGCATAAAGCATGCATGCCAAGTCCGCAAGCCAGCAGAGCGGTACAGTAATGACCGGGAGGCCCAATCTGAGGGATCCTGCTGAAGTAGTCCTTGTTTGAAATAATAGCTCAGTGTTGCAGGCACCATTATAATTAGACTTGGAAAAGCATCTGCATTCCTTCCAAATTTAGTCTGTGATTGTTTAAGGAAAATTAACTGGAGTTATTTTGAGTAACAATGTAACTCTGTACTAGAGGCAAGCCATTCTCAGCAAATACTCACTTCCGGCATAGCAGAGACTCAATTCTGGAGGCCTGCTAGCTGTGATTGGCTACATGAGTCATGTGGCATTATTTTGAATTCCCAGCATGGCCACTGCACACATTGTATACAGGTGGCTGCTTATATCATGAAACATGGCAGCCTTTTGCCCTACACTGGCCTGCTCACTGACTCAAATAGATCATTATCAATATCCCTAGTGCCCTATACTAGCCTGTCAACTCCTAGAAACTGTCAATTGCAGCTTATCTCAGTTTCTCGTTTTTCCAATCTTAAAAGCACTTTTCCCATGTTACTGCAGCGGTTTACACTTCTTGTTGTTTAAAAAAGGAAGTCCTCATGAAAATTTGTCAGCATTTTAGTGCAAATTTCTCCCACTACCCATTTTGTATGCTTTTTTTTTAGTAATATGCATATTTTTGCCAGTGCTTCTCCCAAACATAACGCATTGCCTTTTTGTATGCTGTTTCCACTAATATATGCACTTCTGAACACATTTCACCCCAATATCTGTAGTTTTATACACAATATTTTGTTAGTGAACTTAATTGCAAAATTCGGATGTTTGTGAATTTCAAAGGATAGTTGTTGTGTTTTAGGAACATATGAGGCAGTTAGAGTTGCAGCATCAGAATCCCTGATTTGGATCTTGGCTCTTGTGCAGAATGAAGGCTCCCCACCACAAGAAAAGTTTCAAAGCTTTATTGAACTTAAAATAGTCCTGGAAAACTGTTACAAGATACAAAGTAACTCATTGCTTTTAATCAAACAAGCAATGCGGTCCCATCTTCTTTTTAGTCCTTGATTTAGTACAAGAACGTTCTCATCTCCAGTCCCAGAGAAAGAAAGGGAGATCCTACGCAAGTTGCTCATCCATCATTGCAGAGTGAAACCACTACTGTTTCTGTTGCAAGCTCCATTGCTGACAGAGACGCTGAAGTCTCAGGTTTCACCTTCCCGTTGTGAGAGATCTGAAGCTCAGGTGTCCAGGATGAGTCATCGATGAGCTTAAAGACTGAAACGGAAACATTCAACCTTTTCTGCCGCATTTGTCAGTGTGAAACCTCTCATGCCTAATACAAACTTTTCTACTTTGCAAATGCAAACCTTTACATAAGTTTTTTTTCCTCCAAACCTCAGTGTATATAAACTTTACATGTTATGCATATGAAACATTTCTTTAACAGAAGCTGCCTTATACAAAATCGAACTATCGGTCCATATAGCTCCATATTGTCCATACTGACTGGCAGTTTCTCTCCAGTGTTTCAAGCAGAGATGCTTTTCTAGCCCTTCCTGGAAATGCTGAGGATTGAACCTTGGCCTTGCTGCATGCAAAGCAGTGCTCTGCTGCTTAGCTACAGCGCTTCCTCAGTGATTTGAGTTCAGTAACTGGTTGCAGAAGTGCAAATTGTGTATTTTCTCATCAAAATGCAAACAGAATCAAGTTTCTCCCCCACCCCTGGCCTAAGTAAATGTGTTAGTCTCTCAGGTGCCACAAGATTCTTCACTGCTTTTGTTGCAAAAGACTAACACAGCTACCCATTCTGGGAAATATCCATACATAGGTGGGTTTTAAAAAGAAACATGTCACTATTCTCATCTTAACATAAGAGACACTACATATTTTGTATACTAAGCTGGTGTGTGTCACAGTGGTGGGTTCTGTCCTCATCATCTGTGGTCAAGAACACTGTAATCTTCCACTCATTGACTTTCTCCTGGCACCCCATTATGTTGGGCACATGGTTAAAAATAGCATACGGCACTTCCCGGCCTGTGACTTGGTCTTCTGTGACAACAGCAGCCTTGGGTCAGTCCTCAGGGTGTCTTCTTCACCTCAGATGCTCTGTGCTTCTTTTCCACCTAAAGCAAGACAAACACATTTTAACACACGATGTTTTCCGTTGTGGCCTCGTGGTGGAAAAGATGTGGTGGAGGCAGGTCGGGGGGGCAGTAGGGAAGCTGTTTCCCATGTGTTCTCAAGAGTGACACCGCCATTTAAATATATACATAACTCGGGATTTCATCATTTATTCATAAGGCTATTTCTAATCTAATTCTTTGCATATTATCCAGGGGCAAGAGAAGTCACATAGCAAGGAGCGGGCCATTTCTGGCCCCCGCCTTTTCTTCTCAATACAGAATTGCCACATGGAGAACCGCTGATTAATATGCAAAACACCGGCCGCAAATAGGTTCATAAATAAATGATAAACTATAGCGGCTGCTTTATTTACCTATGGACTTACAGACTGCGGAACCCTGATTAAATCAGAATTGCTGTTTGGAGCCGACTATGGGGCTTAACGGCAGTAATTCTCAAAGCGAAAGGTTGGCTTCCTTAGTGAGGTGCATGGAAGTTCCCCAGGATGCGCATGCTTTCCCCAATTTGCCCTCTGGCATGAGTGAACAAATGCAAAACAACCTCCTCAGTAGTAAATCCTTGAATACACATATGTCTGAGGTGGTTCCAGGGCCAAATGTTAGTTATAGCAAGCAGCCTTTTAATGTTTGTTGGTTTGTTGCATTTATATCTCACCTCTTTCTCTAAGGCAGGCATAGGCAAACTCGGCCCTCCAGATGTTTTGAGACTACAATTCCCATCATCCCTGACCACTGGTCCTGCTAGCTAGGGATGATGGCGTTGTAGTCCCAAAACATCTAGAGGGCCGCGTTTGCCTATGCCTGCTCTAAGGAGCTCAAGGTGGTGTACATGGTTCTCCCCACCCACCTTATTTATTCCCCACAACAACCCTGTAAGGCTGTTAGGCTGAGAGACTGTGGTTAGTCTGAGAGACTGTGACTGTGGTCAGGCTGAGAGACTTTAACTGGCCGAATGTCACCTTTATGACTGAGTGGGGATCTGAACCCTGACCTTCTGGGTCTTAGTCCACCACTCTAACCACTACACCACACACTTAAATCATCTGCTTTCATTCTGAAGGGGGGATTTGTATTCGGAGACCATGGCAATCTCCAGCCAAGCATCACACAGATTTCTGCAAGTTACTTGCCCTGCAAAGGTATTGTTTACTGCACCCTGCCACAGTGGTGGCTTTCAGTGGGAAACTGGCGCATGCTCCCAGATTTGGGTTGGGAGCATATTCTGGATTGGGGCTCACAACTGTGCACCCCCCCAAAAAAAAAAAACCTTCTGGCTTAGGCATGCCTTTTCAAAAGCCCTATTATCATCACATGTTGTTTTGCCCTCAGTAGTTTCTTTGCTGGGCGGTGGTGAAATTGGCAGGTCCACTATGGCGAAGAGTGAATATTCCAATTTAGCTTTCTAATTTTTCCAACCTTAAGTTCATTTCTACACCAGTTTTCAAATTTTCTTCAAAAAGTCATCATGAACATGCCTCAGGATTTTAGAGCAAATTTCTCCTAATGGACACATTTTCATAAGCAGGTTCCCTCAGTATACCGGTACATATTTTTGTAAAACATTTTCCTGGCACAAAATGTAATGTGAGCAGCAGACTCATCACCTTCTTTAACTGATCTCCATAAGCTTTCAGACCCAAAGTTCAAAATGTTTCTGAGGGGATCTTGTTGGTTTAAAAATACATCCTGTTGGATGTTTCCTTGCCAAAAATTACAGTACTCTTCTTTGGGAATTGATTCAGAGACTGTGAACCCTTCTCGCTTCCTTCAAATAAAGGGGAGGGAGGGAAACCCTTCGAGCATTTTTCATATGGCAAATCTGTGCTGCCAACTCAGGTTTCACAGCTGAACACTCCCAAGGTACTAGTTCTGCAATTCAGGGCTTGGCTGCTCTCCCTTGTGCATGATGGATAGCTATAAAATGAAGGCACTTTGAAAAGTACCAGCTGTCCAGGTACACGCTCTGGTTTAGGCTGGCTGAGCAATACTCCCTCTATCTTTGCACTTCTCTCTCTCTCCTTTTTAAACATATTGCACAATGAATTTGCAAGCTCAGGTGTATGCTGGAAAGTTTTCCATGAACTCTCAAGGAGTCCAATCTCTGTGTGGGAGCAGGGCTTTTTCTTCCTTAACCTCCACTGCCTCCATAGCAAGACTTCGCCTTCCTGCTTTCCAGATGTGTGGATTCAGTTCTCATTTACAGGTACAGTGGTACCTTAGGTTAAGTACTTAATTCGTTCCGGAGGTCCGTACTTAACCTGAAACTGTTCCTAACCTGAAGCATCACTTTAGCTAATGGGGCCTCCCGCTGCCGGAGCACCGCTGGAGCACGATTTCTGTTCTCATCCTGAAGCAAAGTTCTTAACCCGAGGTACTATTTCTGGGTTAGTGGAGTCTGTAACCTGAAGCGTAAGTAACCTGAAGCGTATGTAACCTGAAGCGTAAGTAACCCAAGGTACCACTGTACAGTGTCTTCACATGTTTGCTCACCAAGCCAGGGTCTGTTGCAGTAATAATAATAATAATAATAATAATAATAATAATAATAATAGTTTAAGAAGTAACTGCAAAATAAAGCTGTCAGGTTGCAATCCAGAGATTTCCCCTCTACCACCATTACTATACTGGATATATGGGTTATTCCTTCACTCCCATTCATGAAGCATTTTCACTTCCAGTAGGGAGGATGTTTTTCTTAAAATAAAAAATCCAGGTGCTGCTGGAGGATTCCCAAATCAACCATCTTTGGTGTTTATTTACTTTTCCAATTCCTCCCCGCCTTTTAAATTTAGGCTTAAATGAAAATTTTAAATGAAAACTAAACTCTTTTTTAATTGTATTTTTTATTGTATTACAACTATGTAAAGCAGCTTAATCAGTAGTTGTGGGGGTCTATGAAAACTGCTATATTATTAATAGTATCAGCACCATCAAATATATAAAATATTTGTGATGCTGCTCAGTTCATCTGATTTCACTAATCCAGAGTTCCAATTAAAAACAGTCGCTAGCCTAGGGCAATGATTCCCAGTACATTAGTACAATGGGGATATTTACAGCTCCGCTGAGAATAGTCCCCCAGCATTTGTTCTGTAAATGAACATTGACAGAAAGGTCTTGCCCTTACTTATGAGCATTGATGTGCCAATTTCTGGATTTACTGTTTCCAGTTATTGGGTAGGTTTTACAGCTTTACACAAACGTGTCCTGGGTAAGACGGGTTGCCCAGAGATCGGAGAGTTATGCACCAAATATTTATGAAAGAACAGAAAATGTATAATATTCTTATATTCACTGATTCACTCAAACATATTAAGATGCCTATTCCTCTAGCTGCCACCAGTCCCGAGAGGGCTGAAAACCAAAGGATATTTGCATGCCAGGGGAGGGGCAGGGAAGAACAGGGACCAAAATCCAATTTATTCAAGGTGTATCTCTATGACGACCACAGTAAAATATCATGAGGTACATCTCATACTCATGGCAAGCATGCATCTGGAAGCTACTATAAACTGTCTCGGCGTTCCCACAGAACCAATAAGTGAGCACTTGTTTACAACACATGATAATATTCACCACAGTTATGTGAAGCAGTTTGGAGAACCACTGTTATGGATATTTTGAGACTGTAACCACAGTACATATAGCAGGAATTGTTATTAATAGTAATAATACACTTTAGCCATTTCTTCTCCCAAAAATGTCCCGCAAGGCAGTGGAAGTTTAGGATCAGAGTTTTCCTTCTCCTAGATGGGCTACCTTCCCAGACTGATGAGCCCCATCTGCACTTACTGCAGTTGTTACAGTAAGGGCCACACTTTTAATGTTTGGGGAGGGGAAAAGGTGCCAGCCCTGTGTACCCTTGAGCACCCCTAGAAGATAGCACTGTCATCTACCCTCACCTGAAGGAGCGTCTCCACCCCCATCATGCAGTCTGGACATTGAGGTCCAGCTCTGAGGGCCTTCTGCCAGTTCCCTTCCTGAGAGAAGTGAGGTTGCAGGGAACCAGGCACAGGGCCTTCTTGGTAGTGGCGCCCACCTTGTGGAACGCCCTCCCATCAGATGTCAAGGAAATAAACAACTATCTGACTTTTAGAAGACACCTGTTTAGGGAAATTTTTAATGTTTTACAGTGGTGCCTCGCAAGACGAAATTAATTCGTTCTGCGAGTTTTTTCGTCTTGCGAATTTTTCGTCTTGCGGATTTTTCGTCTTGCGAAGCATGGTTTCCCATAGGAATGCATTGAAAATCAATTAATGTGTTCCTATGGTCAAAAAAAAGTCCAAACAAAGCCAAATTTGGTACAAAAAGAGTTTATTAACCCAAAATCCAAACCCCCCCAAAAAAAGTTTTAAAAGTTTAACTTACCAAATGGCTGCAAAAGAAGTTTTGGAAAAGCTTCAAAAATCACCAAAGTCTTCAAAAACCTCAAAAAAGGCTACCACACCACGTGCTATGAGTTGCTCCCCGAAGTCAAGTCGCAACTGCACCTCTTCAAGCAATGCACCGTGTATTACTGTAACAGTTTTAAGAAAAAGGAAACAAACTTGCAAGACGTTTTCGTCTTGCGAAGCAAGCCCATAGGGAAATTCGTCTTGCGAAGCAACTCAAAAAATGAAAAACTCTTTCGTCTTGCAAGTTTTTCGTCTTGCGAGGCATTCGTCTTGCGAGGCACCACTGTATGTTTTGTTGTGTTTTTAATATTCTGTTGGGAGCCGCCCAGAGTGGTTGGGAAAACCCAGCCAGATGGGCGGGGTATAAAATTAGCAGTCATAGTAGTATTCCCTCTACATCATGTGCAGAAAGCACTTTCCTGACTTCTTGACTGTTGGACCCACTATTAGTCTTGTCCACTGAATGCACCAGTCTTTTGAAGAAGTGCAAAGCCTCTCAATCAACTAAGCAGGGAAAGTCTGTGTCTGAAAAAAGAATGCACAGCTTTCCAAACTCTGAGGGACCCCTCCTCTCTCACACACAAACACACAGGCGTATATACCCTAAATAGTATGTTTAAGACCATTACCTCCTAATCCACACAGTTCCTTCCACATTCTCTTGACTTTTACAGACCTAGGTGTTATATTAATCACTGCCACCTAAAGGTATTTACAGCACCTCTACCTCAGTATATATTTACTACTGAGCTATATATTTAGCAGGAATGTTTTGTATGCTGGGAGTACTTACACCAGCTTGTGTGGTGGGATTTTGTTTTGTTTTTTTAAGTAGCCATATCAGTTATCTATTGAAAGCCGCATCAATTTCTCCCAAATGGCCCATTAAATCAGTTGCTGCGGAGAGACTTGCTTCTGAAGTGTCACTTCAGGAACGGTCCTTTTCTATGTCTGTATGTACTCACTACAGAGAAAAGAGTTTCGCCGGGGGTGGGTGGGTTATATTCTTCCCGACCGATACTCCATCTTGTCATATCATGAGGCAAAGCAGTAAACAACCTCAGCGTGAGACCCTCATTGTTTTGTGTAAGTACAACAGAGATCTCCAATGCCCGTTTTCAGCTTTTGGCAGCCTTAAAAATAACACTCATGGCTTAATAACAAATGTTGTTTCATTTCAAATTCTGCTGCTAAGAGAGCTGTAGTGAACCAGCCTGTAAGGTGTTCTTTGGGGACATTCGTCAGATACATTGAAGAAGCAGCTTGGGCTTATTCAGGAGTGTTATGAGCCACGGAACTGAGCGGTGGTTTGTCCAGTATCGATGGCTGCCAATTCACAGGGAAATCGAGATCTGCTAGGAAAGCAACTCAACCCTAGCTGGCAGGGTGGGGAAAACAATATTTGTTTTCCTCTTAGGTAAATGCATGTAAAAAATAATAACAATGGAGGGGAAAGAGAAAGAAGTCGGGTTGAAATTGACAGAGAGAGAGAAATGAATTTTAAGATTTTTCCCTGGTGGAAACTTGCATCCCCATATGCATCCGCACAATGGGTGCATTTGTAAATGAACACTGTATATTATGAAAGGCAGTGGGCTGAATAAATGCACAGGCTGAGCACGTCTTTCCCTTTCTCCACAAAACTTGGAACTGGGTAAATGTGAAGAACTAACCAATTTGGGCTGTTCGTTTGTTTTTCAAAAACAAAACAATGAAGAAAAGCTATTTTCCCCACTGTGTGTTGTTCTGCAGCCAAAACATTTGACTTAAATCAAGTAGCACAGGGATAACCGGTGAGATGCCTTCCATAATTCACATCTTCCCTGATCACTGGCCATGGTGGCTGAGGCTGATGGGACACACAGACACAAACAAACAAATCTGCTTCCTGCCCTCACTTAGAGGGAATATCACCTTCTCTCTGATGGGTGCCTCACACAAATGCATTGGGAGATTTCTATCCATCTCCTAACCCAAGGCTGGGGACCCTAAGGCCTTCCAGATGTTGTCAGACTCTGAAATCCCATCAGTTCCAAACAGCATGTCCAATGGTCAGGGATTATGGGAGTTGAAGTCCAATTACATCTGGAGAGTCACAGTTTCCTCATCCCACTCCTAACCATTATCTCCTGCCATATGACCAATATTAGTTACGACCAATTTACCTAACAAAGGACTGATCCACTAGCATAATAAAGCATACACTGTTTTGCATCCAATCTTGCTTTAAGATCCTGTAAAATGCTCAGGTATAAGGGCTGCTTCTTACATTTCTTTTCCTGCCACTGGTATTAAAACATATGTCAGGAAAAAGAAATAGAGTGATAAAAAAAAATATCCTGCTGTGTGGTGCAGGGGTGTCTAGTGCCAAAGACATAAATCCCACAAGAAAATAGGCTTGTTTTAGTGTAAATCAGAAGTCTTGATTCCATTAAATGTATATGACTAGGGGACAGATACGCAAAATAAACACAAGCCCCAGATATTCTGATGCACTTACGGTACATGGTGGAATCAAATAGCAGTCAAACAGCTTTTCATTTTGATTGCCCTGTGACCAAGTTAAATTCACCAGAGGATAGAGTCCCAGCATATGACCTCTGGAGTCTTGCCACAAATCATTCAGTTCATAGTTATGCTTACTGACTACACAGGAGTGATTTTTCCTCCCACAATGCTATGTACAGTCTAGAATAAAAGCCTCACGCTGTACAGTCATACCTCATGTTACGTTTGCTTCAGGTTGCGCGTTTTCAGCTTGCGTCCCGCAGCGACCCAGAAGTACCAGAATGGGTTACTTCTGGGTTTCGCAGCTCGCACATGCACAGACGCTTAAAATTATGTCACGCGCATGCACAGAAGTAGTGAATCACGACTCACGCACGGACAGACGTGGGTTGCATTCTGCTCATATTGCAAACGGCCTCCGGAACGGATCCCGTTCGCAACCAGAGGTACCACTGTAGTCACAAATAAGAGGATCACTCCATTGTGAATATTTCCTTCTTGAGCTCTGTGGAAATGAATCAGCATGCCTCAAGGCTGAGTTCCGCCATGATGCTAATTCTGTAGAATGGCTGTAGCTCAGTGGTACAACATCTGCCTTGCATGCAGAAGGTCCCTGGTTCAATCCCCAGCATCTCCAGGTAGGCCTGGAAATGTCCCCTGTCTGAAACTGTGGAGAGCTGCTTCTAGTCAATGTAGGTCATATTGAACTAGGTAGACGGATGGTCTGACTTGGTGAAATGCAGTTTCCTACGCATGGATTTCTTCCAGCAATCTCCAGACCAGGGGACTCCAAGCTGCTTGGTTTGACTGCTGAAAGCACATCCACTGTTTCATTTGCCTGTCCAGAGGCTGTTCTAAAGCACCGCAAGATCTAGCCTCAACGCCTAGTTCTGTGCTACTTTTCATCTGCAAAAGAAATATCAAAGTGGCTGGTGCAATATTAAAAAATAGCAATATCCTATAAAAATAAACACCAATAAAACCAGTAAATTCATAACAATGACCAAGGACTTCAGCAACTGGTATTAATCAATAGCAAAGGTCACAGAAGGCATAGGTGAACAGGTGTGCGTTCAGCAGGTATGCCCACAGTTGGCACTTGCCTGATTTAATTAGGGAGAGGTATTCATCGGGAGGGAGATGGCCCAGGTCACGGCAGTCTTGGATGGGGTGCTTCTGCTGATCATACCAGCACCTACAGAATTCCATCTGGTGCTAATGCAGATGAAGGCCATCTCCCTCCCAATGAATACCTGATTTGTGTTCATCCTGATTTGCGTAAGTGAAGGTTAGACCATATCCAGTCTTTAGTGAGCGTTTGTCATGCATTCATCCAAATTACCTTGTGGAGTGTTTATACATCTTTCCATTAGCTCTTTAATCCACTTTGACTGCACAAACCCAAAGCTCCAGTATGTGCTTTAGTCTGTCCTCGCGAATAGTGACAAGCTGGCATAGGTGAATCTGATGTACAGAAGGGGGAAATAAATTCAATTTAGTTCACATGTGAAGGTGAACCTGCACAATTTTAATTTTCTGAAACAATGTGTGAACCAAATCACAGGAGCCCATCAAAGTTCACAGTTCTCTGAATTTTGCAATGAAGTCCTCCTGATAATAATGTGTACAAAAATGCATATACTAGTGTAAATTTTACATTGAAATGCATATATTAGTGAAAAGAATGTTTTAAAATGCATTGTACTATGGGAAATTGCTTTGCAAAAATTTGTAAATGAGGCAAAAATGCACCCAAAATTGTGTACATCAGGAGACATTCACACACAAATGTTGATGACTCTTCATAATTACTTTTTCTTTTTTTAAAAAATCCATAAAATGGTATGTAAATGTAGATAATTGAAATTTCAATGGGGAAAATAAGAAACTGAGAGACACCCAAACTGACAAATTCACCCATATCTTCTTGGAGGTGCAAGAGTGCTAAGGCATTGTGTGGGACAAAGTCAAAATTGAGGATGCCGAAGAAGAAGAAGAAGAGGAGGAGGAGGAGGAGGAGGAGGAGGAGGAGGAGGGGTTTGTATTTGATACCCCACTTTATCACTACCCTAAGGAGTCTCAAAGCGGCTAACAATCTCCTATTCCCTTCCTCCCACAAAACAAACACTCTGTGAGGTGAATGAGGCTGAGAGACTTCAGAGAAGTGTGACTAACCCAAGGTCACCTAGCAGCTGCATGTGGAGGAGCTGAGACATGAACCTGGTTCACCAGATGATAAGTCTACCGCTCTTAACCACTACACCACACTGCTGAGATGGGAGGAATGGAGTTTTCCTTCCCCTGGAAAGACGTAGCCCACTCTCTCCACAAAATGTTCTGCACACCTCTGTGCTTTGGATGATTTACAACAACCCTGACAGACAGGTTGCTATTATCTCCACTTTACAGATGGCAAACGGAAACTTCGAGATTGCAAGGAGCAATCAGATATCGAAATGTGAACACCTGTTCCAAGGTTTCGTGAGCCCATTTTAAATCTAAATAGGAGGGGGTGGGATGCTTTGAGAAATCAATGATAAAATAGCTGGATTATTTGTGATGGATTATTATAAAGTTCCTTCCCACACAACTAGCTCAATAAGGAGACTACAACTAACCCATTTATTCTCCCTATGTGCGAGAAGAAGCCGCTGACCTGGTGCATTGACCTGTCCATGAATTTTCACAGTAGCTGACTTCATAAAGAAAAGATTGCACTGTACGCAGGAAAGAACTTGGATCACTTTTCTTCCAGTTTTTCCTGCTAGGCCAGGTGCCGCGTCCACCAAGCACTGCAAATGACTCCCCTTCCCCCACTCCAAACAAATAACTTTTTAATGCACCTGTCATTTCAAACGTCAGACCTGAGACAGGGTCAAGCTTGGAGCGAAATCAGCCTGCTCCTTCTTTGACCCACCATTCATCACTGCATTTATCCACAACACGGGCACCCCAGCTGGTTTCACAGGGGTGAAAACACACACACCACAATCTGAGCAGTTCTAGAAGGATCCCATTTCTCTATTTCACTGACTTTATTAATGGCGCTCTGCGGAAGCCAGCAGAGGTCCTGATGGACAGCTTTGCAGCAACGTTAAACAAGAGGGAAAAAGCTAGAAAATTCCAATGCTGATCAGGAGGCTGGAGGGTAAATATGGATTTGAACTGCTGAATGGATAAAGCTATTGTATGTGATTGCTGCCTTAAAATTCAGCTTAGTGGGGACATTCCGCAGAAGCCTGGTTTACATCTCTCCTCTTTGTATAAAATAAAGCAGCATAACATGGGAATGCATAGTGATCAACAGCCTTCCTGTCCTAACCCTCATTATGTAGGGCAAAGGGCTCTCATGCATAGTTGTGCTTAATTTCCCATTTGAAAAGCTCATAGGCTATCTTGTCAGGTATGAGGAACCTGTGACTCTCCAGATGTTGCTGGACTACAGCTCCTATTAGTCCTGACAGCTGCTTTTTCCTTAAAAAAGAAATGGGTAGTCATTACACATGCTTGATGATGGTGCGCAAGTAGAGCTATGCCTCCGTAACTCTCATTTTTCTTCTTTGTCTCTTACATGGCCCTTGTTCATGCCTTTACCTTATGAGAACCAAGACTTAATTAATTTCAGCCTTGGATCTGTTTGGAATACTCCAATTAGAAGTGTACAAATATGTTCAGAATATTAAACAAAAAACAATCGTGCTCTTGCTAAACCACAATCCTGCTGTGATGTGATGATCATTACAATCCTTCATCAATTAATGCATGCAAAAGCCCCACTGAAATTAACGTAGTTTACAAATCTATCACTGTGTTTAGGTTCTCCCCTAATAAACTATGTGCCAGCCGTGCTTGGTTGGCATAAAGTTCATTAAGAGAGAAATGAAACACAATGATAGATTTGCATGCTGGATTAATTTCAATAATTTTGCATGCATTACTCCTTATTCATATGCATCCAGGAGAGCTAGAAACTTGCATTTGTATTTATTTTAAATGTGATGGTGTGGTGGAGCAGGACCTGGGGAGCAAGGGAGTGCAGCTCCAGGATATGAGAGAGAGAGAGAGAGAGAGAGAGAGAGAGAGAGAGAGAGAGAGAGCAGGAGCAATGGCATCATCTGCCAGAGTACCATGGTAAGTGATGGCTTCCACTTGCTTTGGCAAATGAATGAGGTGATCACAAGGCCTTCAAATTGTAGTAAAGGCAGCAGAAGTACAGCAGAAGTCAGAGAATGAGCACAGAAACCAAACAGAAGCTTTCCTTGGATGAGAATCCTCCTCCATGCTATCATTTTGAAGAATAATGTTTGTATTGCTGCCTCATTCAGTTGTCAGAACAAGGATGATCTGGCAGATGACATAATCACTTCTGACATCATCACGCCAACAGATGATATCATCACAGCTTGGGGGAAAAACCTGAGAGCTGCCCTGTATTACAGCTACTATTATTTATTATTATTGTATTTGCTAATTACTTATCTCATAAAATATAACCCTATAGATTAAAAGAGGCCACAATAACCTTTGAGTTGAAGGCCAAAGCATCGGGGGTGGGGGGGAGTATTGCCTGTCACTTAAAACTAAACAAAGATGGTGTCTGGCAAGTCTCCCTGGGGAGCGCATTCCACTAGTGTAACTTGTCTTGTTCCAAAATATTTATTACCTCCTTTTCTCAGGGTGAAAACTGTGTTTGTTTTGAGGAAGGAGGGAACAAATTCAGATTTCAAAAAGTCCTCCCGGCTCTGCCCCCTTGCTCTGCCTGAGGATAAAAAGAAAGCAGTAGAAATGAGAAATGAGTGTGGAGGCTTGTGAAATAAACCATAAAGAAATCTCAGTCCTGGTTGTTCTGCCACCTGTCAAATCTGATGGGCCCTATCTATGACGGAACAATAACAATATATTTTTGTAAAAGACACTGTTAGTATACATCAGCCTTTTTCAACTTTGGCTCCCTATATAGCACTGAACTACAATTCCCATTATCCCTGGCCATTGACCATGCTACCTAAATATTATTGGAGTCCAACAACATAATGGGACCCAGAATTGAAAAATGCTGGAACACTTGTATAGATCTTTGTTTTCTTTTCATTGTAAGCTCCCACACTCCTTTCTAACTGCCAGCAAACTCCAGGATGGAAAAGGGGTCCGCTGTATCTTCCCACCATGTTTTCTCCATTGCACATAAAGTTTCAATTGTTTTAGCCTCCTAAAAAGCACCCAAGCTCTGATGCTCACTCTAGCAAGGAGCTTGTGGCAGACAATGCCAGTCAGAGTTGAAGATGCTAAGTTAGATGGACCAATAGCATGGTTGCGTATAAGGCAGCATTATACATGCCACTCAGAGCAGTGGGAAATCTTTTGGAAAATCTGTGTATTTTCTAACCATCCATACTAGTAAACTTTGTAGCAAATCTCACAAAAAGAATAAGTCACTGACTGAAAGTAGCCCTTAACCCCTCAAAGGTGTCCACAGCTATAAGCATTCTTTCGCCATTTTCCTTTTTAGCTGTACGTACCACATTAGTAGCCTCAATACAAATCACTTGTTTCAATGGAAATTCAGCTCCAATTCATTTGGTCTTTACAGCTATTTTGTTGTTGTTTGGTGCATGTGTGTGTGTGTGTTTTCGCTTCTGTGCTTTTCCTCCATGCTCAAGTTGACAGCTATTTTATCACCCCAAGCAAGAATGCTGAGCCTGTTGTGAAGGCAAAACATTTGGAGAAGGGAAGGGAGCATGCACAGAGCAGAAGGAAATGGAGAAAGGGCTACAAACAAGCTTCATAAAAAAATATGCCGACTCTCCCATTTAGGGCACAAAGCACCTGCACCTCTGCCCCCAGCAGTGCTGCCTGCAGACACTCCTATTGTTTTCATTGCTAGTTGTGACTTGATCATTAATAAATTACCTTTCCCCCCTCTCATTGGCTCTACCTACCAGGGGAGCAGGCAGGTGCACCATGCTAACAATTAGTCTTTGGTAATGCATGCTTGGCAAGAAAAGTTGTCCTCGAGCTGCAGAGTTTACCAACTGGATCTTGCTTCCCTAGAAGTAATTAAAGGAGAATTTTTGCAAGGTGGGACCTCGACATCACACAACAGCCAAAAAAAGTGAAGCCATGTGCCCAAAAAATCTCTTAACTTAGCATTCTTGTTTAAAACCAAACCTGGTCATGCAGATGTGCTCACTGTGAATTCAGCTGTTCTCTGGAAGCTCCTTTCTTCCCCCCAGAGTGGCAATTTTCCCATCGAAGGACTAGAAAAATTGTAGCATATAATGGCAAAAGAAAAAGAAAAACTCCTTTTTGATTAAGAAGGCTTTCCCTGAGGTGTCCTTTATGAAATATGAATTGTACATTTGTAGGGATGGATTTATTGGGTTGGATTCACCATCACACCAATATGAATATGCCATCTGTACAATTCATTTCAGTTTCCTCCCCACTTGTGCTGCCCAGGGGGTTCTGCAGAACCTCCCCAGAGCTAATTTCGGAGGTACAAGAGCAAAGCCCTTTTGTACAAGCCAATGTCCTTGCGCAAGCCTTCCACTGGTTGGGCTCTTTGGATGAATCTTGCTTTTTAATGTTGTTTTTAATCTCGTTGGGAACTGAGAATTGGTTTCTAAAACTGTAAAAGTAATAAACTTAGGCAACTGCAATCCTAACTCCACTTATCTGGTTGTCAAGCCCATGAATTCAATCAGACTTACCTCTGAGTAGACATGGTTAGGAGCATGCTGTGAACCCAAATGTCACCAGTTTGGTTCTTGCCTCTACCATGAATTTGGCAAGCCATGATCATTCCATCTCAATAGTCCATCTGTAAAATGGGAATAATAAACAACTCCTTACAGGCCCATTGTAAGGATTACTGAGATGTGTGAAATGGGTTTAACCGTACTAGACAAATGGCTGTTGTTATTATTAGTTCCATAATACCTTTATCTGAAGGCCTAAACATGTAAATACTCACTTCCTGGGTAGGATCATAACATTTTAAACTAAAAGAAGGTTTTGGAGTAAAAGACACATAGTCACCATCAGGGATCCCAATGAAATTTGCATCCAATATCTAATAAAAACGTGGGAGCTTTTTGGCTCCTCTTTGCCTCCCTGTATTGTGGAAGTTATCATCTGTATCAAAGAATCTGACCAGGATAGGGCTTGGGGGAGGAAAGAGAAGCCCTTGACTTCCTTTCTATTTTTTAAAACCCAGAGTAAAAGTAAACTATGATTGAGGCAGACACATGTAAAACACCAAAGTCCTGAAGATTCTCCTGGCCCTTACTTACAACAGACTGTAGGAAGAGGTTCAATAGTCACAGCAAGATACGTAGGTTTATGGATGAAGTCATGCCGTTGGGGATCAAAGGTGGTGTGCAGCTGCTACAGAGCACAGTAGGGACCAGGAGAGGTTGGGCATTGGAGATTAATTTCTTGGATGGTTAGAGCCAAGGTTTAATAGCAGCCTAGGAGAGAACCGTGATTGAGTTCACTGCTAGCGGAACCTACATTTCAGGTCACACAAAAGCTGGAGGAGGTGGGGAGGGGAAAGCGTTTTCTGTGCGTCTCTTGCAAAACCAAAGTCTAATGGCTTAACAATACAGTGCATCAAGAAGACTTATAGCAGCCGCTACTAGTGAGCTACGTGCTGCTGTGTTGGGGTAGGGGGTAGAAGCCAGAGAACAGAACCTTGTGTACCTGGCACTTACCATTTAACTAAGAATAAATATCCAAGACCAGAATAATGCACAGAGGCAAGAAGGAGTGCACAAGGTGTAAAATTGCATAGGTTAATAAAACAAAGAACAATTTAGAACATGCCTAGTACCGGTAAATAGAGAAGGACCCATTTTTAAGGTGGAGAGGATTTCAAAGAAGGTCTTTCTTTCTCTCCTTCCTTCCTTCCTTTCTTCCTTCCTTCCTTTCTTTCCCCAGGAGATACTGCATATCTTTGCCTATAGAACCGTTGGCTAATAAAGGGAAAACAATGTCCAGGAAGGGTGAGGGAACAGAACAGGAGCCAGAATGAAAGCCATTGCAACTCACTCACCCAAATGATTATTCACAATGAAAAAGGACATCATGTCATGGGTGCTTTCATTTTGTTTGGGGGGGGGTATGACTTCAGGGTAAATTACCTGGAAGTGGAATGTTCTGGAAGCCAAGGCAAATTTCCACAGGGATCGCCATGTCAGTTGCAGTGAAACCAACAAATTTTACAGACTAACACATTTTATAATGGCATTGGCTTTCATAGACTAGAGACCATTTCATCAGATGCACAGGGTGTGACCCTCAGTTACCTCCCAGGTGTGTGTGCATAAAGGCCTGAGTCACGTGGCAATGGAATGCAAAAGCACAGTCTGTGAGAATTCAGTTAGCGTTTAAATGTATGCCAAATGAACCTTCGCAGCAGCCGTACAAATCTGGTGATAAGACAACCATCTTAGCATTGCTGAGAAAAGGGACAATACAATTAGAGCATAAATGCATACGAAACAAGCACAGTGACCCTTCACTGGAGTAGCAATCGGTGATACAACAGAATCATTCCCATCACTGCCAGGTAAATACCTTTAGCATAGTGCAACAGGAAGCCGTTGTTGCAATTCAGTCCTAAATAAATGGTTTTAAGTTCCTTTGTTCCAGGTTGTCCCTCTTAAAATCAAGGCATGGTATTTATATCACTCAAAATAAAGTACTGGTTCCGTTTACTGGAGTAAGTTTTAAAGGACTCATAACCTCACTGTCAATAACAGCAGTTCCTCAGCCAAAATGCATTACTGTATTAGTTATGGCCATATACTTTAGGACCGGTGTTAGCTCAGGCATAGGCAAACTCGCCCTCCATATGTTTTTGGGACTACAATTCCCACCATCCCTGACCACTGGTCCTGTTAGCAAGGGATCGTGGGAGTTGTAGTCCCAAAACATCTGGGGGGCTGAGTTTGCCTATGGCTGTGTTAGCTCATAATTATCTTCACTGATGGAGTAAGGAAGCAGAAATGAGCAGGCTATTATATACACAACCAAAGTAACAGCAGCATACCACCAGAGGTTATTGGTTGCTTATAGAAGAGCTTCCTCCTGCGTTGCAGGGGGTTGGACTAGATGACCCCCTTCCAGCTCTAAGATTCTATGATTCTACAATCCTAAGTGTACAAGAAGGAATTTGCACAGATTGTTTACCCTGAAGACTAGGGACCAGTTCCTCTTGCACAGACACTAGTTTCTCTTGTGTACAGGATATGACTGGCTATTCATCCTGCATCCATCATGGCTTTTTCTTCCAAAACTGTTTTTCCAAAGACTGCCCGCCTTTTGCCCAGAACAGCTGTTGAACCTGTGCTCCTTCCTCCCTGCAAAAAAAAAAAAAAGATTTAAAAAATGTGGCACATTGGGATGTAACTCAATGGCACAAGCAACAGCAACCTATATTTCTTTAGGGTGCCAACATTCAGATGCCAAAGTGCCTCCTAGGATTGGACTACCACTTGCACTGTAATTAAATTGAATCTACTCTTTGGCTAGGCTTTGTCCCTGAACAATACTACCATTTGAGAAATACATTCTCAGGGCACTCATACATCACCCGAGCAAACTCTGTGTCCATGATGTATTGGTGTAATGCATCACCAGAGTGCACTCTCGCTCTAAGGATGTATGGGCATTGTAGATCATGGAGGTGAGACAGAGTCATGATCTACTACTCAGAAGATGGCACCAGTCACGACTAGGCTGGGCAGGGCTCAAGAGGAGGTAGGTTGGCATCTGAAACAATAGTTCTGATGCAACACAAGCTTAACTCTGCTGTATTTATTTATTCTGGGTCACCAAGGGCATGTCTGCAAGGGAGTTCTCCTGCTCACAGTTCAGTTTTATAGTATCAAGACTGGAAATCTGGCATAAGTTATTTAGGACGGGTATGAAATAAGAGAGTGCTCAAGGCTGGGTCACTTCTGAAGCCTTTGCCCAGTAAACTATCCATGTAGGTCCAGAAACTGACTTCCTTCTCCCACTGTCTCAGGTCCCCACTTGCAATTCTGTATTTTCAGCTTCTCAGTGCTTTTTTTTGGGATGGGGGGGGACCTCAAGGGTACACAGTCCTGGCACCCTTCCCTAAAGAAGTTAAAAGTATGGCACTTTCTGTAACGGCTTTGTGGTGAGTATAGCCACCATTTTTTCCCCTATTAAAAATAGCACTGCAGGTTCTATATTCTACAATTCTCATGCAATTCTGTGTTTGAGTTTTAGTGCATGAAAAGTTCCACATTTCAAATTGAGAACATAGGAACATCGGATGCTTATACTAAGTAAGATAGTT